TTGGGAGGCCGAGGTTGAAAGATCACCTGAGGTTGGGAGTTCGAGACCAGCCTGACCAACATGGAGAAACCCCGTCTCTACTAAAAATACAAAATTAGCTGGGCGTGGTGGTGCATGCCTGTAATCTCAGCTACTCGGGAGGCTGAGGCAGGAGAATTGCTTGAACCAGGGAGGCGGAGGTTGTGGTGAGCTGAGATTGCACCATTGCACTCTAGCCTGGGCAACAAGAGCAAAACTCTGTCTCAAAAAAAAAAACAAAAAAACAAAAAACAACATACTAAATCAAGTTGTGGGAAATTTTAAGGTATGTTAGTACAAATTGGTTGTAGTTAATGCTTTTATTTTTAGCTATGTCAGTGAAGAAATGACTTTGAAGCTTCAGTGAAGTCCTCACAGTCTGCCTGGGAAGCAGTGAGAGTGGGGCTTCCGGGGGGTGCAAAGCCTCCGTCTGGTCTGCTGGGCCGTAGCAGAGCCCTTGGGGAAGATTCTGTTACCTTTCTGTGACCTGTTTATCAGGGTGAGAGTGTCTCCTGGCATGCGTCACTTCCATTTTCGCAAATTTTCCTTTCTTTATCCAGTAGAGAAGGGAAGGTGCCTTAGTCATCTGTCACAGCTTTCTTTTCTTGATGATAACAGTTTATTTTCCTGAAAGGTTCAAGGTGTCCCGAATCTAGAACTTTTTTGGTCTCTGAATTTGTACGGGGTTTTTATTTGTTTATTTTTTTGAAAAGGAGTTTTGATCTTGTCTAGGCTGGAGTGCAACGGTGCAATCTCAGCTCACCGAAACCTCCGCCTCCCAGGTTCAAGCAATTCTCCTGCCTCAGCCTCTCAAGTAACTGGGATTATAGGCGCCCTCCATGACGCCCGGCTAATGTTTTGTATTTTAAGTAGAGGGGGGGTTTCATCATGTTGGCCAGGCTGGTCTGGAACTCCTGACCTCAGGTGATCCACTTGCCTTGGCCTCCCAAAGTGCTGGGATTACAGGCGTGAAGGCACTGTGCCCAGCCTGTACAGGGTTTTTTTTGGTTTGTTTTTTGTTTTTTAAACCTGATTTTTTTCCCCCAGTGTTCTATTAGGGATTTTTTTTTCCTTTTTTTTAGATAGGGTCTTACTGTGTTGCCCAGGCTGGAGAGCAGTGAGGCAATCATAGCTCACTCTAGCCTTCATCTCCTGGCTCAAAACAGTCCTGCCTCAGCCTCCCAAATAGCTGGGACTACACGAGTGCCCCTCCATGCCCGACTGTATCAGGAAAAATTTAAACCACCTGAAATTTTGAATTAAACAACCTCATCTGAATACAATATGGTGGAAATAATTGACAAAAGTATACTTTTTGGATGGAATGACCAAATTGATTTATCTTTGTGTAGGGAAAAGTGGACAGTTGAATTGAGATCTTCACACTTTGTGGTGATTGCTTTGTTGGTGTGGCGATTGCTTTGTTGGTGTGGCGATTGCTTTGTTGGTGTGGCAGTTGTTGGTGTGGAGATTGCTTTGTTGGTGTGGAGCACTGTCACAGTGCTCCTTTTTTGGAGATGGTGAGTCTGTTGGTTCATGACGTTTGGGTCCCTGTTAATATGCCAGGGATCCAGGTTGGGCACGGTGGCTCACGCCTGTAATCCCAGCACTTTGAGAGGCCGAGGCAGGTGGATCACCTGAGGTCTGGAGTTTCAGACCAGCCTGATCAACATGGAGAAACCCCATCTCTACTAAAAATACAAAAATTAGCCGGGTGTGGTAGCACGCACCTGAAATCCCAGCTACTCGGGAGGCTGAGGCAGGAGAATCGCTTGAACCCAGGAGGCGGAGGTTGTGGTGAGCCAAGACCGCGCCATTGCACTCCAGCCTGGGCAACAAGAGCGAAATTCTGTCTCAAAAAAAAAAATAAATAAAAAATATGCCAGGGATCTATCTGAGCATCCCAGGTAGTCCTTGCTATGGTCTGAAGAGATGGTTAGCACCAGGGGTCCCCTTTCACTGTGGGAAAAACAGCTTGGTTAGATTAATTGGCT